GCACCAACGGTCTAACACTTCCAACCGATGTAATTTTCATGCGAAGAAACCGATATTTGCAAGCGTAGGGCAGAAGCAATCTCATAATTACTTGTCGGACACGCACCTTCTTTCTGAGGCTGATACCTCGACGCGGCAGGCGCAGAGAGGTTCAGACAACTGGAGGATAAAGGGCTCGCCTCCCTGCTGAAATACTTGCTATAATCTCATGTTTCGGAGGTTCATCCGGTAACAGGATGGAACCGAGATATTTTAAGGCGCCAATGACGATTGCGTCAAGACTGATTTGCTGTTTGTCACCCACGGATATGGCCGATATGCAATATCACCTTATTTACACAGTGAACGAGTCTTCACGCTGCTACAGAGAGAATGAGTTCGTGTCCGAGGTCAGTGAATATCGATGCTGACTACCTCGCAGTCCGTTGCCACGAGTGTAGTGCGGCGTAGAATATAGTTGATGGCAAAACTGAAGAGGATTAAGGCGGAAATACAGTCCTGTTGAACTCTGAGCACGTCTCAACGATCTCAGTCTCTTCTCCATTAGCATCAATCTTCATTCGGCTCCGATTGCAATATGCTTTGACAAACCGAACCGGCTTCGGTGGGATATCATCAAGCCGGACGATTCGCCTTCGTTCCAACCAATATCTGTTGACCGAGTCGAAGGCAGTCGCTATGTCCACGTAACAAATAATAATTGGTCGGTGATATGTGATAACGGGGCGAGGCTCATGGATTCGGCGAATAGAAAACATCCGTGGTCAACCTATCCACGGCCGAGGCGAAAATCACCTTTATTTGGAACCTGTTTGGACATTGCTTTCCCGAGTATGGTCAAAAATACGCCTCATCAAGGTATTTTGCTAAATCTAGGGTCTAGGGCCGAAGAGTAGCTCCCGTAGGACTAGAATGGAGCAGTACTCTTCCATTTCTGTAAGAAGGATTGTTATCATATGTTCTACAAGAAATATTGAAAGATCAGCCTAACTGATGCAGAAGACACCAATCACCGGTGCGATGCCCAAAACGATGTACTAATGAGTATAGACCGCCACGTCATAGGGTCTTGACAGAGCAGCCTCCTTCGAACTCGTGTCGTACTTCATGAGTGACCTCGTGTCTCGCCCTCGTCGAACACAGCGAAGCATCATGAACAAACACCCATCTTCATCACTGTCAGCGCGGTCGCCGCTAGTTTTTGATAGTGCAGTAATAGCATGGATCTCGGCGGACTTCTTCAAGCAAAGCCGCTTACTGCCGATCGAACTGATCGCAGCACTTAGCGAACAGAAAAACAGCAGTCGCTTTCAGACGACAAAACCGAAAAACGTTTTGGTCATCTTCCGAAAGCTATCACCGAGTGCACGCCGGACTGTCGACAAAGATGGTTGGTTCAGACAACTCAGACCACCCCAAGGTGCACGGCGAAATATCATTGCCAAGAAGTAGAAAACTCTTGGGTAACAAGTCAGAAATTTAAGACTGTTCGAAACAGAGCCTGAATATAACAGTTTTACATGCACAGTGTGCAATGAATGCAAATCTTCTGTGGTTATTAACTAAAGCGTGGAGGGGGAACAACTGCAACACTGACACGGTAAATCGTGTTTACACAACAGTGACTTAATCATTTTAATTAAAACTTCACAACGTTAATTGGTCAACAATCTGGCCAGTCAGTTTAATGATATTTTGACTGCAAAGCATTGTCGCTTGTTGGACATCAGTGCCCTCAAGTAGTCATCTGTACTTGGGATGACCTTGATGATGCTACGGTCTATGCAGTGAAACGCGTCGGCAAAAACTGTTCTACCATGAATCATTAAAACACCTATCTATATGACTATGGGTACGGAATCAAAAAACCTGAAGTATTATTTATAACTGCAACTGTACTAACTTTGGTGGTCACCAATCAGAAGATTTCTGGTTGATTACTGCATCATTAGAAACTGAGTCAGAGAACATTTCAACACTGAAACGTCTTTGACATGAATGCTCGTCTACTTCTCACCACCATACGACATCTACCCGTAACAC